ACAGGGCCGGCCCTGGACCAGGGCGAGCGGGGCCCAGGCCCAGGGCCCATTTGTCAATAGGGCCCTAATTTTTTAGTTATATTTTAATAGGTATTTTTGTAAATATAATATGTTTGATTCCTTTTGTTTCTATTTCAGTCCTCCGTTTCTGTGTTGCTAACAAAAAAGACCCTTCTTTTTATTTTCTACTTTTTAACTCCCTCTCCTCTCCACTAATGCTTTTACCCAATTCCTTTAGTTTTTTAATCTTACCCCAACTTTTTCCATTTATGTCTTTTTACTCCAATTTTGTTTTCTCTCGGTTGAACCCATATATCATTTTATGTTTCTATTTTCTATAATTTATACTTTGATTCTTTTTTTTTAATCATTATTGATTTTTCATTTCCTAACATTAAACCAGTTTTTGTAAAAGTAAAGATTTTTTTTCTAATTAATTTTTTTGGCTTAAAGAAACACAATTTTGTGACGAGGGCTCATTAAAAATCTTGATTATCATAAAAATTTGGACAATATCTCGATTTATGGGTGTCATCCTTGCACAGGCGCCATGCTAATCTTTTTTGTATTGTTCCAGTTTATAATTTTATTATTAAATATGTTTATATTTTACATATATATATTTTCAAAAAAATTGAGGATGTTGTGACGAACCTTGTAGTATTATATTTTTTTAGGTACCGGACCCCTTGTTATTTAGGGGCACAATTTTGTGTTTTGCCCAGGGCCCCAAGATACGCCGGACCGGCCCTGTATATATATATATATATATATATATATATATATATATATATATATATATATATATATATGGATGGACCGTAATCGAATAGCATGGCGTGACGTATATGTTGAATATATTATATAAATTGTGTACGATGCTTATTTCCCTCCAAAATGATTTTAGGGTGAACTGTAGTTAGAGTGTGAAATCTAAAAGTGGTATAAGATTATAATATATATTATATTTTGATTAAAAATTAGCAATATAAACTTATTTTTGGAGTGTCTTGAGATCCTTAAAAGAATTTCAGCGCGCCGCCACGAATCACGAAAATTTAGTTGGTCCTCTACATTTTGATTCTAATTTCGCTGGCCAAGAGCAGTTCGCTGGCCAAGAGCAGTTATAATTAGAGGGAGATTGTTGGCCCTATGTATTGGCAACAAGTCCTAGTCCTCCAACAAGTTCATTTCTATTTGAAAATTTTAAAATCCAAATATTAAATCTATTGAGCATGTTTGGAAAAATATATATTTTATAAATTCAAAATTTTGCAGTATATATATATATATATATATATATATATATATATATTCATCAAGATGAAATTGAATTTATTTGATATCTAGCCACTTAGAGCAACTCCAATTCTAGATATTAAAACTGAGTTATTAAATACTCATTTGATATCTGAGAATTATTTTAATATTGATTTAAAACTCATCTACTCCAACCATGGTTATCAAATTAATTATCAATTGAAAGTTTATGGGTGGTTTTATTTGTAATTGCCACGTGTCAACTTCTGATTGAACGTTTAGGAGGTTACATGTTTTATAACTCAATTTCCAGCAAGTATTTTTACAACCCAGAAGATGAATTATCAAAATGGAAACCTCATTTAATAACTCCATTGGAGTTAAAGATTTCTATTTTTAAGTATCAAAATGGGAGTTAAATGTTTGAATATTCTATTTAATAATCCCATTGAAGTTGCTCTTAGCCACTTAAAATCTTATTATCAGTTGGCTTTCCTACACAAATTTAAGAATTTTCATCGAAATGTAACCTATTTTACCACGTCTTAAAGGCATAATTAAAAGAAGAAAAAAAAAACAATATAAATTGAAACTTAAAAGAGCTAATTACATTCCAAACTTGATTCATTAGAGTGTACTAATGCATCTCTTCACCAAGCTGGAATTGTGAAACCATTGAATAATTGATCAAAAGAATTTGATGGAAATTAATAATTACATATATTTTTATATAAAAAGCTTTAAACAGGCTCATCAGATAAATCCAAATTCAAGAACCTCATCATAGCATTATCTTGCAAGCTTGCAATTCCAAATCTCAACTCTCAAGTCCCACATGCCCATGCACATGAATATTAATATTATTCCTCAATAATTCCTCAATCAATTTGTTTCCACCACAAAAAGAAAAAGAAAAAGAAAAAAAGAAAAAAATAAAAAATCCCTTCACCTATAAAAACCCCATTCTTCATCTTTACATTCTTCACCACACTAATTAATAACATAAATCTCAAATCCATTTTCTCAAATTAAAGCTATTTAAAAAAAAATGGCTTCAAGAGCAGCAACATCAACTATCCTTTTAGTCATGTTCAACCTCGTATTCTTCACGATGGTAAGTTCGACGTACGTCCCTTGCCCTCCGCCACCGAGCCACGAGCACAAGCATCATCATTACCACCCTAAGGCCACGTGCCCGAAAGACACTCTCAAGTTGGGAGTGTGTGCAAACTTGCTCAATGATTTGGTCCATTTGGTTGTTGGATCGCCCCCGAAAACCCCGTGCTGCTCACTCATTGGTGGATTGGCCGATCTCGAGGCCGCTGTCTGCCTCTGCACCGCTGTCAAAGCCAATGTCCTGGGCATTAACCTCAACGTCCCTGTTTCTCTAAGTTTGCTTTTGAACTATTGCGGCAAGAAGGTTCCCTCCGGTTTCCAGTGCGCGTAACCAATTACGCCGCGTCGTCATACCACTATTTATATCGAGCTAGGGTTCGATATATTGAGTGTTTAGTTTCTCTCATGTCTTTCTCTTATGTACCTTTGTGTTATTTGCTGAAGTTGGTGTTGGGTTTGCTGTGTGGATAATGCTTTTGTGAATGTTTTCTTGAACTTTTTCTGTTTTTTAATAATTTTTTTCAAATAGAAGGTTTCTCGCCTTCTGTGGACGTTGTATTGTTGTTACTTTGGAATTAATGAAATGAATAATACAAAACTTTGAAATGCTTTTCCGTTTTGTCCAGAATATTTTTCCTTTGAGTGCATTAATAAAATGAATAATATAAATTTTCAGTATACTATTTAAGTGGATTATCGACACCCCCTCCCCCCCCCCCCCTCATCTTTTGGGGTACTTTTCTGAGTAGTCACATCGAAATCCAACATAAGGAATCCCATGGGTAAAAGCAGAAAAATGAGTTCTCAAAAAAGAATGTTTCAAAGAGATCTAGCATGCACATGTACAATATGATTGTTTTAATGGATGTTTATAGGGTGGGAACAAATGTGTTCTAAACTTATATGAGATGTGTATTAATCAGTGTTCTAAATATCGGTTGTGGCGGTCGATATATCGGCCGCCATATCGGTATCGGTTATAAACCTTTACGATTTTGTTGAGGCGGTTTGGAATATCGGTTTTTTACGGCGAGGCGGTTTGCGGCGGTTTTTTGGCGGGTCAAACCGATATATCGGTCAACAAATCGGTTTTCTTTTTTTCTTTTTTTTTTTTTTTTTAATTTAAATTAAAATGAAAGTGTGTTTTGATTTTTTGTTTTTCTCCAATTTTTTCAACTTCCAAAACCAAACCAAGTACTACCCCGCAATTTATGCTTTGTTGTGTTTATATTAATTATTGATGCGAAAAACTTGCGTAGTATTTGTATTTCGTAAGAATCTTTTATTATATTATGATGATTTTATTTTTAAAGTTTTGTTATTTATTGAGTAATTATAATTATATAATAACATATGAATGATAGGACATAATTATGTTTAAATATTCTTTTATATATATTTTGAGTATTTACAAATGTTTTTTTAGAAATATATTACACTAAATTTAAAAACCGATATATTTCCGATTTATCTCCGATAAATCACCGCCGCGCCGATTTATCGTGTGGCGGTCCCAAACTAACCGCCTTTTAAAACCTTGGTATTAATCACCATTATTTTTTTACTAAAAATTCATTCATCAGGGATCGAACTTGTGACATCTTAACACGGGGAATACGATGCTACACCCGGTGATTTTCACCGGGTGGCTCTTTTTTTGACATGTGTCCTTTTTAATTTATTTTATAATTATATTTCTAAAACCCCATGGGCCATATAACTGAACCCGTACTGGGAATCTTATTAATTATGGTGTCTGGTTATATTCACCAGGTGTAGCATCGATATTGCCTCTTAACACATTCAACACTCCTAACCATCCAACCACATTAACTTATTATGATATATTTAACGTGTTACATAAATGATTTAACTATTTATAAGTAATGTTTAATATCTTTTTAATTCAATTTTGTCATAAAAATAATAAATTTAATTCCTAACACATGTAAGAACCTAATCGTAAATCGTAATATTTTATCAAAGCGTAATATTTGAACCAATTAAGCTCAAGTCCTTTCAATTTGTAAACATTATTCAAATATTTGAATCGATTAAGCGCGCTCAACTATTGACAAAAACGTCTTAATCAAATTAACTATTATTAATTAAAGTGTAATACATTTTTAATTCAATTTTATCATAAAAAAATAATTCCTAAATTACGTAAGAATCAAATCATAAGATTAATTAAAACGTATGATTTGAATCAATTAAGCGCAAGTCCTTTTAATTTGTAAATATTATTCAAAAATTTGAATCGAATTAGTTCAACCACTGATAAGAACGTATTAATTGAGTTAACTATTTATAATTAAAGTCTACTATCCTTTTAATTCAATTTTAACAAAATAATAATAATTTAATTTGTAAAATCGTAAGAATCAAATTGTAAATCATAAGATTGAATCTAACCATGAACCAATTAAATCTTACGATTTTTAAGAATTAAATTTTATTATTTTTTATGACAAAATTCAATAAAAATTAAAGAGATACTAAACTTTAACTATACATAGTTTGATTAATACACTATTGTAAATTATTGAGTTTCACCGATTCAAATATTTGAATATTGTCTACGAATTGAAATGAGTTGAGCTTAATCGATCAAATATTTGAATATTGTTTTTGAATTGAAAACACATGAGTTTAATTGATTCAAATATTACGATTTAATTAAATCTTACAATTTACGATTCAATTCAAACTTCAAATTCTTTCGAAATTCATTTATAAATTACACGAGTTGATTAGCATTTCCTTAGATTTTTAAATTATATTATCTAAAGATTTTTTAGTATGGGATAATTTTAATATATAATAATAATTATATGAGAATTAATAATTTATTTAACATTATTTATATAAGTTTTATAATCATTATACATTGTATCTTTGTGATATATATCCGTATTATTAGTTTATTGTCAATTATGTGTTGTGTCTTAATGGTAAATATTCTTGTATGCCTTTAGATTGTCACAACTTCGAATTTAGGTTGATGCAATTTTGGATGGGTGGTTTAATGATTTTTACGAATAATGATATAATTGACATTATAAATTTTAATTCAGCAATAAATATAGATTTAAAATTTCATTAAAATAGAGAGGGTAAAATTGACATTTCATTAATAATGTATAATGGCCGATTTTTTGAAAATAATAATTGTACAAAGGGTATTTGCGACAATACATAAATGAGGAAAAAATAGGTTTTTTTGCTGGGACACGTGTCGCAATTTGAAGGGGGTATCTCATATAAGTTGTGTTCTTGGGATCTCATGATAGAAACACCCTGTTTTAATACCTCCGTCTTGTTAAAGCGCCAATTTGTTAAACATCCTTGACAGTAATTCTCTTTTAAAATCAGGGTAGGGGAATTTTGAGAATTTACTAAACATTCTTTGTTTTTCATCTCGCCTTCATCCAGTCAAATCTATTAACACCGCTTTGCTCCTCAGATAGGTCCAACACCGCTCTACCTGCTTCATCCTTACTCTCTGCAGCTGCCATCGTTGAAGCTCTACAGCATACACATATAATCACACATCTACATACACACATACACAATCACATACGCGTACACACATACGATTTGGTTATTCCCCTTCTTTTTTGCTGTAACTAGCGACGGATCTAGCTTGGTGCTAGGGCGTGCAATTGCACACCCTTGATTTAAAAAAAAATTCCCTATATATTTATCTATAATACATTGTACATGTGATAATCATTAAAATTGAGTGGTAGCTGAAATGGTAAGAAGTTTAAATTGTAGTTGAAATGGCGCAGGATTTTGAATCCCACACTTTATAACAATTTTTTTTATTTATTTTTTACTAATTTCAATGGTAACATCCCTCTATACAATTATTAGTGTTTTTTTTTTATTTTTTTTTATTTTTTTTTATTTTTTTATTTTATGTTGCTCATTTCCGTGTACAATGGAAATGTGTGATTATCTTAGATAAAATCCTTATTATACAATCCTTGTAACATTTTCTCGCAATAATTTTTTAAAATTTTCAATAAAAATTCGCAGATTTTGAATTTTTTACATTTGAGTATATGATAATTATAAAATGTGTATACTATTATAAACAAAAAAAAAATCGGGGGCGCTGTCTGCGAACACCACTAAGTTTTAGCATACACAATTTGGAACAGACTTGGATAAAAAACCTTGATTCGCCACTGGCTGTAACCTAATAATTATGGAAACCAAAAAGAAGAAGTATGAAGAATTGTTTGGTGGTGGCAGATAGAAATGTTTGTGGTGATGTATGCCAATAGAGATTTAAGTTTTTTCATTTCTTTAATTTATTTTAACTAAGTTGTGTAATTAAGTTGTGTAGATAAGTTTTTTAAGGTGTCTAACTTAATATTAAAATTATATGAAATACGTGTTCTTTTTTTAATTTTAGCTTATTAATGTAATTAAGCTCTTCAAATAAGTTTTTATAAGTTGTCTGTGTAAGTTGTGTATGCATTGTGAGATATGTTCATTCTTTTTTAATTTATTGTTCAGTTTATTTTAACTAAGATGCTGCTTATTCATATAACTAAGTTTTTGCTTATTCATTCAACTAAGTTGTTGTTTATTAATATAACTAAGTTGTGCAAATGTTTTCCTAGAAAAAATCTAGACCTAACGTCAGATCCAATGCACAAGGACTTTTAGCAAAATGACAACAACTGCCTGTACTTATAGCTCTAGAGAATATTTTTTTAGGGACTTCCAGCTAATTCCCCCTTGTTAAAACTATTTAATAAAAGGGTAAATTACGGCCACCTCTTAAGGCAAGGTCAAATTCAGGGGGAAAAAAACCTATTGTTTGGATAATTACAACCACTTCTTCAACTATGAATCTTCTTACATGTCCATTCTTATTGTGTCAAATTTATCGTAATTTTCCAGATTATGTGGAATCTTCCCTAGTTTGTAATCGTATTGTGCAAAAATGTAGTTTCTGATGCACCATAATCTGATATTTATAAGCCAATAAACGCATCTTATGATCATCTTGTTTCAAAATGTGGAGCTCGAATGAGGTAAAACGAGTACAAATTGGAAAATATTCCACATAAAGATGAAGATTGCACTAACTTTGACAGTTGACGTGTAAAAATATTCATAATTGAGGGGAGTGCTTATAATTACCCAAACATGAAGAGTTTTTTTAGTAATTTAACCTTACCTTGGGGATGACCGTAATTTACCCTTAATAAAATACTAAGTTTTATTCATAAAACTCGAATCACTTTCATTCGGCCCACAAACATTCTTCGGTTACCCGTTAAAGTATTATGGCTGTCCAAATGAAATAGGGAAAATGTGAGATAACCCCCTACTTTTGAAGATATATTAGAGGAGATCCCTCCCTTTTTTCACTCTTTTGACTAAAACCCAAGTTTTTGATCTTAATTAGGCAGACCCCCCTAGCTTACTTGAAGTGACCCTTTTACCCTTTTAGATTGCCCTAAGCCCTCTAAAACTCTGTCGTTCACACGCCGCACACCCACAATCGTTTTCTCCCTCTCTCCTCTCTCTCGCCAGATCCAATCCAGCGTCTCACGTCTTCTCTCTTCCTGGGCAAAACAC